ACATCCAAACCAGCTGGAACACCTTGTTTGCTTTTTAGATGTCAGTGGGATAATGGAGTTATTAGAAATAGACCAAGCAGAACTGCTTGTCTCCACCTGTATCTTCTTGCTGTTTATTCTTGCCATCCTTTCCACAGGTAAACAAAAGTTGTTGCCAAGTGGGACAGTAGGAGGAAGCTTTTTGGTTGCTGTGTGTTGTTTTAATGCACGTTAAAGCAGCTTGAGGGCAGTAAGAGATGGGTGTACGATGCTATGTTTACTTGTTTTCTATTATAGAAATTAAAACCCAGAAGTACACCACTACTACTTTTCTGTAAGTAGTAATCATAGTCAAGCAAAACACTGACAGTTCCGTTTTCAACTCTTAAACATGTTCTTAGACATATTCTACAGCATGGTGTTACCCAGAGCGACATCTGTCTTCTCTTTTCTCTATGCCTTTTTTTCTATTTAGGGAAAATGACACATTCTGTAAAATAACAGCAAGTGGAGATATTCTTCGTTATGTCTGTTGCTTTTTTTCTTGCATGTGCTTTGCATAGAAATGCTGGTGGATGTAACAGCAGTAATGTTTTGGTTTTAATACTGACACAGCCACTACTTTATTTTAAAGTTACTTGCTTCCTTCCCTTATTCCTTAGTTTTTTGGAGCTTCTTGATCTTTCATTTCCTACATAGTGTAGTAAACTGCCGTTCAATTCTTGTCTGTTTTGCTCCTTCAGATTTACTCTCCCTGTTTTAAACGCTAGTATGGAGTCAAGTGAGAGGAAATGATTGCTTGTCCTCTTTGATGCTTTTCAAGTGGACTCTTGAACTTGTGTTTCATGCTTGGAAGTGTGTTATATCAAAGAACGTTACTAAGGTCTGTGACTTCTTTCTGAAAAGGAGTTCTGTGGTGGTTCCTCACTGCTAAAAGATGTCGTTCTGTACGGTGTCCGGCTTTTTCATAGTGGGAGGACATCCCTGATGTAGTCCTACAGGTGCCTGTGCTTACACCAGTACTTTTAAACACGTTCATAAATGACCTGGATGAGGGTATGAATTATGAAGTGCTAGAATTTCTAATGGTGCTAATTTATTCAGTATAGGAAAGAAGGCTGACTGGACCCCAGCCTCCCTCTCCGAGCAGGGTCAGCTATGAGATCAGACTGGATTACTTGAGGCTTGAAAACCTTTAGGGACGGAGATTGTACAGCCTTGCTGGGCAACTGGTTCCACTGCTTGGCTATCCTTATGGAGGGGATTTCTCCGTAGCTCCAGTCTCATCTTCCCACTGTGCACCACTGTCAAGAGCCCAGCTTTGCCTTCTTAATGACCTCCTCATAGGTACCGACAAGCTGCTATCAGGTTCTCCTGAAGCCTTGTTGTCCCCGGGCTGAACAGGCTGAGGTCCTTCAGCCTGTCTGCACCAAGCAAGTGTTCCAGCCCCCTGACCATCTTGGTGATCTTCCTTGCTGCAATTATTGATGTCATTCCTATATTGGAGGGTCAAAACTGGACACAACTACATGTGACCTGAGGAATGCTACTGGAGAGAGATAATTACTTCCCATGATTATTTGCTTTGCTTCTGGTGATATAGCCCAGGATGCTTTTGGGAGTGTTTGCTGCCAGAGCATGTCGATGGACAGGTACTGAACAATTATTGGACAACGCAGCTGTGTACTTTTCTCCTAGCATCAACTACAGCTATATTTCTTGCATAACAGTTGGGAAGAATATCGTGCTATATAAATATAAGCTGTTGATCTTTCTGTACACAAAAATGCAGCTTTTAATGCATGCACACAAATGACAATTGTGAAGAATAGTTATATCTTGTGCATCAGGGAAACAAAAGAGTATCTTGTGCATTTTGAGCATATTCTTTCTTAGCATGAGAGTGTAGCTCTAGCACTTGCAACAGCAGATCATGCTTTACCAACCTGAGGTATGAATTTCAGTGCCAGAATTTTAAAGATCATCCACACAGGCAAATTAATGTCAGCTGATCTTTAGTAACTGTCATAAGGACAATGGAATTTGAGTTAGTTCAGACCTTTATTGCTTGTTTTTAATGCTCAACTCTTCAGGGCCAGCCCTTTAAGACGCAGATAGTTACAAACTGGAATGCATGCAGTTTATCTCCAACTCTGTTCTCACAGGAGCTGAGAGCTGTCTGGTACAGATCCAAAAGTATGACTTGGGTCATACTTGGATGGCTTTGGATGACAGATCCAAAAGTATGACTCTATGGAAGAGCTGGATACAAGATACCTAAGAATGTAGTGGAGTGTGTCTCCAGAAGTAGCCTCTCTTGGCCTGTCTAGTGTGTAATCTAAGCAGGAGCATAAAGCACTTCCTTTTCCAAATGAAGATTAAGAACCCCAGGGGAAGGCAGGTTTCTTTTGCTTGTCCTACCAGAGGTTGTATTTAGTCCATGCAAAGAGATGTGAATCAATTGTATGATTGAGGTTTAAAGACTTCTCAGTGTGCCACCTGTCAAAAGGGAGCCCCTAGATGTAGCACAGAATCCATGCATTTTGCTTTCAGTTACCGAGTGGTGTGGAGAGCGAAACACAAAAACAGACATTAAAAATTAAGAATTGCTTTGCTTGACTGTTTTGCTATAACCATATAAAATTCTTAGACTCCTTTTTAATTTACTTTATATTTTGATGCAGCCGGTCAAACATGAACTGAGTTTATTTCCCCTATAATGTGAGAGTGTACCATACTTGGGTTTAAAGTAGCTTCCTAGGAGCAGTCTGACTATGGCAACAGATCCATAACTACTTTGCCCCTCTGTAAAGTTGGAATGAGTTTAAGGAAATAAATTTTAAGATTAGAAGTTGTTGTTTGTGTGTGGTGTGGTTGTATTTTGTTTGTGGTTTTTGTGTGTGTGGGTTTCTTTTTAAGTTGACGCTATCAGAGAATGTCAGAAATCCTTATTCTTATCACAGTTGTGTACATTCTCTGTATGGTGTCTCTACTGTGTCCTCAAGTCAAACTTGGAAGAGCTTCATTTGAGCTCCAGTGAAAAACTTGCAGAGAACTTGGGGTTATGAGGAATATAGCTTGTCCTAGATTTGCTGCATTTGCAGCATCCGTAGCTTTTGTCAGCTCTTATTGTAGAGATGGGTGATGGCATAAACCACTGCTTTTTTGATTGAAAACATGACTTTAATATTGTATTCCAATATTGGCTCCGATACTGTCACATAGTAGTTTTCTGAAGAAAAGATTGAATGTAACTAATATAGTCTTTCCTTTCACTGAACGTGTCAATGTAGCTTTATGTGTGGTGTTCTTCTTTGATTAGTGCCCTATTTCAGTATGACTACCTATGCCTTTTAAGAAGTGATTAGAAATGAAAGTTGACAGATGATTTAGGGTACTGTGAACATATTTATATGTGGATTTGCCCTCTTCTAAGTTTTTTCTTTTTTTAAGAAAGTCAAATTAGGAGTTGTTAAGAACTGTATTTTCTGAAGCCACGTGACTATTGGTGGAGTGTTGTTTCTTTTGCATGTGCCAAGGACTATATCCAGGAAATGCACTGAAAGGTATTTCTTAAACTAGAGTCAGTGTGCCTTAGTAGAGGAGCTGTAAAGTGAATAAGAAACTGGCTGTAGTGTACATGACAATAGGTGTTGTGTTTGGGGGGAAAAAAGCTACTATTCAGTTTCCTCAGGTATCAATATTAAGAGCAATCTTGCTCAACTTAGATGAAAATGACGTAAAACATTCTGTTAGCACAAACCCAATTCTTTAGGAGATGTAGTCTATACAAAGGAGGGTTAGAACGTGGTGCAGAAAGGACTTGATTACACCAAAATAATAGATATAATATTAAATTATGGTGTGGTTTTTAAAGCAAAAAAAACCAAACCAAACACAACATGGTGATGAACTTGAACTCTGAAAACAAGTTTCTGCTGTAACTTGAGAGCTGTTCTACTGGAAGCAATTGGGAAGGGCAGCATGGATGGATTCAGTGATCAGAGGATAATGCTGAGTTACTAGCATCATTCTCAGGTAAATACGTTGGAAGTATTTTCAGTACAGAAAGGAAGGCTTAGTGCTGTTATATATAGCCATAAGACCTTACCTGGAGTACTGCATACAAGCCCAGTCATTCATAATTGAGGAACATGAACTGAAGCTAGAGTGAGTACAAACAAGGGCTGTATTTTTTTTTTTTCAGGACAAAAAAATCCTGAAACAAAGAGCAGTATGAAGAGTAAGAACCCAGTGCTGCAGCGTGACAGGACAGTGGAGTCTATTCTTTGGCTATCATGGGGCAACACATTCCTTTTCCCCAACATAACTGAGTTCCACTTTAAAAATAGTTAGGATGCTGGCTTTTGCTGTTCCCTTTAGAAAACTACTTAGAATGCATGGTTAGAAACACTTCAGGATCATAGGTTTCACTGAGTAGATATTGAGATTGAAGTAGTATTTCTGAGTTTGTTTATTGACTTGTTTTGGTCAATATGAAGGACTTCTAATTTACGAATTCTCTTTTGTTAAGATGCTAAAGCTTTCACTGATTAGAATTTACTTTTCTTGCCGATTGCTTTAAAATGACGGGAATTTTCAGTAGTAAATAAATTTATCAAATATTTACAAAACTGGTCTCAATTCTGACAGAAGTAGAGGGATAATTACACCAAGATATATAGTTACACCTTATTGCTGAGTTGCAAAGTAGCTGTCATCTAAAACTAGAACTACAACATTTGACAGTTCGGGTTACTGGACAGCTTTCATCTGCTGTGCCCTCAATTTTTTTTTTTTTTTTAAGAGAGTGAGTTCTTAAAAGCAACAAATCTTTAAATGATTAATTAAAGAAATACTTCAGCTGTTGCCTGGTGAAGTGATTTTGCAATTTCAGATCATAAAGGATCCTTCCTGTGAAGGAACATTGTGTTTGACTAGCTTATGCTTCCTTCACAGGAAGGCGTAGGCAGATGAGTTTCTTGTGTGTATTGTCTCCTGGAATTTGTTTGATTCAAGACATGACGGAAACAGTAAACATAACTGCTTTCTTTCCACCTATGTTGTGAGCTTACTTGAAAATCAATCTTCGAGAGCCCATCTGATAAAATACGATTACCCTTAGGTTACAAGTTGCACTGTAATAAGGCTTTTTTCTTAATTTTAGAGGAAAACTTGCTGGCCATATAATCGATCCAATACCTGTTACTGTAATTAAACTGTTCTTATTGGTTTAACTTCCTATTAATAAGATGTAAATGTCAACGCTGTTACATTTTATATAGAATTTTGTTGATCTGAATTAAATTTTAAATTATAATCCAGGCATTTTGTCGCAACCTAATAAATGCATTTTTTTTTTCCAGATCTGTTTTCTCCTATTTGCTGTTCTCTACATAGTTTCCTACTTCATAATCACAAGATACAAAAGGAAAGCAGGTAAGCATAGACTTTTTTGATGTATTAAAAAATAATTTTGTTTTTCAAGTGAATAGGCGATTCTTTTTCTCCCTGCCCGCACAAGAAAAGTGGAAGAACTAGATCTCTGCCCAAAGTGTTTCTCAGGCTGCTGGTCTTATGGCATCCTGGACTGATCTGATTGTATATACTGCTGTCTTTCCCTTTATCCCTGCACCATGAGTTTTCATCACCTCCCTTGTGTCCATCTGGCACTTCTCAGACCCTTCAGTGTTCCTCCTGCTATCACTGACCAAGGGAGGGAGTGCTCTGGAGTATCTTGGAAAAGGATCAGTGAGCGCTGTAGCTGGCACTCTGTGACTGAGTGAGGGTGGGTGGCTGTTATGGAGGTGGTGTGGATGGCCACAGTCAGGTGTTCTGTTGTGGTTCTGTGGCAGCCTAAATTTTATCCGTTTTGAAAGGGAAGAAAGGGGAAAATTTCAAGTAGATGCTTCTGCCTCCCTTGCCTTTAGATCCTTGCCTTTAGATCGTTCTCCTTTCATGTCAGCTTTTCCACAGTAAATATCTTCAGGCTGTGTTCTAGCACCAAAATCAGATTCAGAGCTTTAGCTGGTAAAGTGAAAGGGTTGCCAGTAATACAGAAGGGAAGTAGCTGATTTCTTATAAAAATCCGGCTTTGCTCAGGTACAGTTATTTCAGTGTTCTTACCCTATTCCTTATCACCTTGCCACTGAAGTCGTATTTCTTGAGATCATACTGTATTTTTTTTTTCCTTCGGAAACATTGTCTGTTTGAAACTAGTCTGTAGGAACCCCTGTCACTTTCTTATAAATAAAAATAACATAAAAATTAGTACGAAATGGCAGAATCTTTGACTCTTGACAGCCGATCTGGGACCTTGGTGCTCGGTAATAGTCAGTCATGCTGGAGAAGCATTCTTATGTGTGATCTTGGCACTTTGAACTTTAATGGAAAATGTTTATTGAGCTGTACTGACCTGTGTTACAATAGAGCTGCTTTTATAGATGGTTTCATGTTTCAAAAAGTAAGCTCTTCAAGGAATTTAATACCTTTTTTTAAAAAAAAAAAAAGTGCACCTCTAAACATAGGGAAGAGTTAAACAAGCGAGTAAGACAATACTATCTTCTGATCCTGGTATGTGTTTTGGATACTACAAAGCTGCTACCATTTGGAGATAGGGAAGAACAGGGAGGGGAAATGGGTTTGGCAAACACTATTGGATGGAAAGACACTTTTATTACCGTTCTGGCGGTCGATCTCATCAGCTAGTGAGAGGAACTGCTCTGCAGCTGTCCTGACTTTATGAAAGCTTTGTGAGCATTTAGTTAGGCAAACTTTGTAGCCTGCTAGGATCTTCCTGATGAGACATGTTTGAAGAGTTAACAGGTCTGGAATTCTTTCAGAACAAATTGTTTGCTGTTTCTACAACAAGCTCTTTAGCCAAGATGTTTCATAAGGGACCTTAACTTAGTCTCTCAAAACACCATGAGATTCCCATCAAAAAACCAGAAACAATAACCCAATGTACTTTCACAGAAGAATTTCAAAATAGCATGTTAGTGGCTACATGTTTATTTCAAGTGTGTGCGTGACTCTTAAGAACTTGAAACATCTGGCTGTATTTATTCTTAGATTTTTAAAATAAATTTGAGTTACCTCTTGTGGAAAACCTGGGAGACTTGGAAGAAAGCTGACTCTAAAATTATTTCAAATGTAGAAATGCGTACATTTGTGTACGGATGTGTGTAGAGAACAATATAAAGAATAAACAAAGGATATATTAGTGATTGACCTCTGAATTAAGTGTTGATAATATTTCAAAAAGTTAGAATATTAATTGAGGAATAAATTAAGAAAAATTATCTAAAATGTGGTAAGCCAGAAAGGAAGCCATGGTACCTTAAATCCAAAACAAGAACACCAACCACCCTCCTTCGCCCCCTCCTCCAAACCCCCAGGAGTCGGGAGGAGGGATGAGTAAGGGGAGGCAACTGAGTGGTCATCAGTACTGTATGCTTTCTGGTTTTAAAAATATGTCAGTACTGAAAATGAAACGTCTATTTAGGGATTTGTAGCAGTAGTTAGTATGGACCCTAAGACTTCCCTGTATCTTGCCAGCTCTCCGTGGTTTCAGAGATGCCCAAAGGGACAGTTCTAGCAGCAGTGGTGGTGGGAGTAGCAGTCTGAAAGCTTGTTTGCCGTAGAGCTCCCTGGAAGACATTTCCAAGAGGTTTTGATCTGTGTATTTAAATAAAGTGAAATAACTTTATAGTTACATTGATTGAAGAGAGTTTAAAAGTAGCACAAAAAAAGTGTTCATTTAGGGTAGGAACACTTTCAAAATATTGATGCTAATAAATTGGTTTAGTAATTCTAAATTTTAATTGTAAATTAAAATTATTCCTATGTATATAAGCTTTAGCCTGAGGAAAGAAGACTATTGAATATAACCTGCTGTAATTTAATTTTCAGATGAGCAAGAGGATGAAGATGCCATCGTTAACAGAATATCGTACGTATAGCTCTTTTTTTTTTTTTCCAGATATGGAAAAAATGATATGATAGGAATCTTGTATGCTTCCAAATAAATAACAGTCCATTTTAAATGTAATGGTAAATAGATTGCCAGAGGGCAGAGGAAAAAGATTTGATCGAGTGGCATTTTGTATTATGAAAGGCACGACAAGAGGCAAGGTGGTTTCGTCTAGGGCTCTCGTCACCTGTGGTGGTTCTGGTAGGCGTGAAGTTGGCCAGGACACTGCATGAGAACCTGATGCAAGAGGCAGAATTCAGTGCAACGCCTGCACCTAAGTTTAGGTCTCTAAAGTGTAGGTGTTTATATGGGAGGTAGGTGTTTAAGTTCCCACTGCAGTTGATGGAAGCCCTGTGAAGGGAGGCAAAGGATCTTGGAAAGAAAGTCAGTGCATTCTGAAGTAGACATCTGTATTTGATCATCTTTAAAAAAAAAAAAAAAAAGGCTTAAAGAATAACAAATGGACGACAAGCAGTTGCCAGACCTGCTGGTCTGCCAGCAACTCTCTCTTCTCTTCCTGGTCCTTTGTAAAGCTAGATATTAATCTCTCCTATTTAAATATGTCTGAAGATTTACAGAACATCTGTGAGCTGTTGCTGCCCTCTGTTTCGTGATTTGCTAAACTATGTGGACTTGCTACTTGTTTATTACGGTGTTCTTAGTTCTTCCATGGTGGTGCTGTCATCCTCTTGGAAGGAGAGCTCATTGGCTATTTTATTGATTTGTCTTGTACCCTGGGAAAGTGCCGAGTACATTGCAAGCTGTTCACTTTTAGTTGTGCATTTGTGGCAAGCTTGAAAGATGTACAAAGACGATGTAAATCTTAGGTGCACTTCTCCCAGTAGTGTCTGATACCAGTACTTTTTATGAATTTGAAATACTTACTTGCCACAAGGTCTACTTCAGATCTAGACAAAAATACGTACTTTTAAATGCTATGAAGCTCTTCCCTCAAGTGGAGGAGTCTCTCTCCTGTCCTTTTAAGACTACAGTGAGGGCTCTTCTAGATTGAATGATTTTCATAGCAGCTGTGGTCTTAGCCTTAGAATTTTTCAATATTCAAAGAGTACAATTTGTCTTGTTAACTGTTATCCACCTGCATCTGTTTTATAGTTTAGCTTTAAAATGCAGCAAATATCAATTGTAAATACTGTGTTCTTTGTGCGAAAACAGCGTACGACAAGATTAGCACTTCCATCAGAGTAATAGCCTTTCATTAAGTGTTGTTATAAATATAAAATGCTTCTTGTTCTTTCAGCCTAAGCTTTCTTGTTCCTTAAGTGTGCATGTTATTGTCCAAAAAGCAATAACTGTCAAACATATGCAGGTTGATAGCTCTTTGCATAGCGTAATTGTCAGGATTGAAGAGGTGGGTGGGGGGAGAAAACAAGCCTGAACTGCTGTAAACCCTTGAAAGGATGTTGTGTTAGGTTTCACAATCCTTGCTTAGAACACTTAAACATCCTTAAATAAAAGAAAAAATACCTCAGAAACCAACAACAAAACCAGATTAGAATATTTTCTTTAATAAAATGAGTTAACCAGACTTTCTTCTTTAAGTATTGTGGGAATGAAAAACGATTTGTAGACTGTTAAGAAAAAGCAAGATCTCAGTAAGCAACTTACTGACATTCCTGTTGTAGGAATGGTCTATTTAAGTTTATCTTCTGTCGTGTGATTTTGAGAATTATTTCTAATTTTATTCTAGCATTGGATTAGTTCTGTAAGAATGTTTTTGTTAGTCTTATTGTTATTATAGAATACAGTTCTTTTTAATGCCACAAGATGGCATTTGACGTATTGTGTTTGGGATCTAAAAAGAATAAGCTTAAATACTTTAAGTAATTCTGACTATTTCTCTGTATTGCCTTTCCAGCTATCAGAAAACCCCAAGCTATGAGATGATACTTGAATAACTACTTTGTGAAAGAAAAGCATTTTTTCCCATTTTGGTGTTAAAATAGTTGTTTGTTTATAATTGTACTTACTTTTTAGACAATAAAAAGCTGCTTTGCTTTTAAAAAATGTAGTAAAAATATCGAGGTGCAAATTTTTTTCATCCTGAGTGTGTATGTGGAAAATGAAAACTAAAATATGAGGCTTATGAAAAGATACTCGAACTCCAGTAGTTTAACCTGTGTATGACACTGGAATTGAATACACGCAATTCCCAAGAGAGTAATTGTGGTAGTTGGTAAAAGCTAATTATTTTTACTGGATTCTGTAAGCTACTTGGTATTTTAAATTGCTTTTGGGAAGTGAAATATTGTGGAAGTCAGTCTCTCCTGCCCATTTACCATGTAAGAATGCGTTGCCTTTAGACACTGATGAATAGGTAGGCTAACTATTTTTTTTTTTTTTTCCCTCCCCCTGTTCAGAGCATGTTGGTGGTAACAGTGGTACATTTCTTTAAATTTCAGGCTGTTCTTGAGCACCTTCACTCTAGCAGTTTCAGCTGGTGCAGTCCTGCTTCTGCCTTTCTCAATAATCAGCAATGAGATCCTGCTTTCTTTTCCACAAAACTACTATATTCAGTGGTTAAATGGCTCACTAATTCATGGTTAGTACTCAGCATAATGTAATTAAAATGGATGTCTTCATTATACGTGCACAGATATGTTCTTATTTTCAAACTAAACTCCATTTTCATTTAAGATGCTAATTGAATTGTTAATATGTTATTGGCTAGTTTATTTTGCTGCTGTGTAATATGTCACAAAAGGCTGTCTTAATTGTTCTGTTGGGTTTTTTTAAAGAATTATGCAGACTTGATGGAATTTAACCAAATTCACTGCTTTGAATGTTAATGTAGAATAAGAGCTTCTGGAAGCTAACTTTAAAACACACTGTTCAAACTTTTCCTCGTGTACTAATGTAAGATTCGTAAGCCTGTCTCTTTATGATGATGGTACATATACATTTAGTCTCAAAATAGAAAACTTGTTTTAAGAAACGTGCTAACTATGAGCAGTTGGGATTAGATAGTTAAATTCAACTGTTAGTGATTTATTTGTAAACAAGTAAAATTACAGAATGTAAGTGTAGTGAGTGTGGTAAAGAGGCACAATAAAAATGAACCATTTTAACGAAAATGAGATGCAAGAAAAGAATATTACTTGTACTCGCAGTGATGATGTGTTGATACCTGGCGGAGTGAATTTTGCATGCTTTCCAGTATTAGTTAACATGCTTATGACTGTGATGTGTATAATGGATGCTAATACTTGAAAATAATTTGGGCACTTCTATGTGTCTGAGGGGAAATAACTGGTTGAAACAGGACATTCTTTAGTAGATTTGGCTGGAGAAGGAGATAGTACTTCTGCTTTGTGAAACAATTTATTTAATCTGGAACAAATAATTTACATGTTAACTGTGCTGTCCTTTTTTTGTTCTTCTGAAGAGATAGTAATTGGGTTTTGTAGGATTTCTCTCTGAAAAATGTGTGCTTTTTGCTGACTGCCTAATAATACTCAAAAATAACAAATTCATGAATTTCCAGATCCCTAACTTGCAAGGGTGGGTTATCTGTTTTGTGAGTTTCTTTTAAGAATAAAGAAGCTTACAACAGATTAAATGTGGGTATGTAAAGATAAGAAATAATGCATATTGTTTTGTCATCTTTCTGGAACTAGTTGAGTATTTTTTGTGTTATCTAGACACTAAAAGATTATTTTTTTTTTTTTAAACCCATGAATCAGGAGGAGCTGACTGTAGGTATGGTGGTCAATGGTGACTCTGACTGTGGTGACAGTAGTTTAAGACCTGAGAAAAGTGAGGAAGGAAAAATAGTAGAATAAAGACATTAGATTTTTGAGAGAGTAGACTCTGTCCTCTTCAGGAAATTTTTATGTGGGATCTTGCTGGAGAATGCCTTGAAGGGAAAGGAAGCCAGGATATATCCTTGCTTTCAAGGATACCAAGTACCAAGATACTTCAGGCACCATCACGTGCACCTTGGTGTGCAAGAAAATAAGGAGGTGTAGTAAGAGGTCGACTTGACTTAATGAGGAACTCCTGAGCTCAAAACCAAAAAGAACGCGTACAGAAGTTAGAAGTAGGGGTGAACTGCCGAGGAGGGGTATAGAAATGTCATCTGTGTTAATATCCTGGTGTGAAATTAGGAAAGCCAGGGCCCAGCTGGATTTGCAAGTGATGAGGGGTTTGTCCAGAGCCAGCTGCTTCTCTGGAACGTGCAGTGAGGGGCAAGAAGCAGTATTTTCAGGACATAAAGCGACAATTCTTCACAGTGGGGGTGGCTGAACACTGGAGAAGGTTGACCAGAGAGCCTGGGAGATCTAAATTGTTGGAAGTTTTCCAAAACTCAGCTGGCAACCCTGATTGCCCTGAGCAACCTCATTGCACCTGAGCTGTTTTAAGCAGCAGATCAGACTACATGACTTCAGAGGTTCATTCTTGTCAAGTTGTTCTGTGATCTGTTGTCACACATCATGAAGGGATTGATAATTTTGTATGTCTCCTACTTGGAAGAAAAAACCCCAACTAATTCTTGTTTTTCACACCGATTTAGCTGCTCAGACATACTTATTCTTTACTTCCAGACATGAAAAAGAAAAAAATTAATGGAAAATAATCCTTCTGTGTCTGAATTGATTTTAGAAAAACTACAGTAAAATATTTCAGAGAGTGAAAATTACATAATAACCAATTCAGAAATTTTCATTTTGACAGAGTAGCTACAGTATTTGAGAAAAATTGGGTTAGTTAGAAAGTTGCTGGGAAAAGTAGCTGTCATGTAGGAATGCCTTTGCATTTTTCCAGTGACCATCTTTTTTTGGTTTTAATATGATAATCTTTTCAAAGTACCACCTCATGCATGCACAGTGTAAGTCCAATAGTAATGGTTAGCAAGGAAGTAAATTCAGCATCTTGGTGTTTCCAAGTGTGACTGTGTATTGCAAAGTACCCTAGGGTTAGACATGACTGAATTAAAACAAGAGTTACCACAGTTGGTGTGAAGACTTCAGAAACATCAGTAGATTTCTGCATCTGACTATGGGCTTTTGTTAGTGCAGTGTGACAAAAATTAGTGTAATTGTTTCAAAACATTACCTTGGGGAAGGGCTCCCTCTTGTGGTACTCACTGGGTTTGCACAATAGCATCACACTGCTCTGTAAAAACCTGTCCCGTGTAGTGGTGATACCTTTTTGAAAGTAGTTATGAAATACCTGTGGAAGTTTTGAGAGCTGATAGTGTTGTCACAAGCACTCAAGTTCAGAAAATGTTCCTATATCCATAACACTGTCTAGCGTAGCTTTCATGTACGGTTTGCTTACTGCTTTGCAAATGTTATCAAATGGGAAAATTTGTAGTGGTTTAAAACACTTTGGTTTTGCTAGATTTATCAATAATGGATACTGTCTGAGGTACTTGAATGTAACATTATGGGTTTTTATACTGTAGACTGTTGCATTAGTTGTGACATATAGAAAAATATATGCCTCTAACTTTTAAAACTAGGCAGAAAGCCCGTACCCGGATCCAGTATAAACACTCTTACCTAATGCATGTTGAACTAAACCCAGAAATACTTTGACAGCTGGATGTTCACTTGTGCTGTTGTTGGATACAACCACCAGGTGGGGGTAAAACGTAATGAAACTGCCATGAATAAGAAAAAGTAAAAATTGCTGAGGGACTAATCTGTTTGCCAAAGACTGAGATATTTTCAATTTTTGTGTTTTATTAACTTGTTTTATGGGGGATATTCTTAGGTCTCTAAAAATAGAGAAAAAAGAAAACACAACAAACTAAAATTAAAATATTCCAATAGACTGTGTAAGCAAGGCGCTCATACAATTTTATGACGCAGTCAATGTAATAGGAAATAATTATTTTTCTGGGTCTATTTTAATTTGATTTTTGAACTGTCAAATTTGGATAAGAAATACTGCGGGGGAGGAAGAGGGCCCTGTCTGTTCCTTATTTTGAGGAAAGTGTATATGTGTATCAGTGGGAATACAGCACTGTCCTTGCCTCTCATAACTTTACATGCATATTGTAGCTCTGTAGTTTAATATTCTGTAAATATGGCTGCTATCAGCTGCTAATGTGTACACTTCTGGGTTTTAACTTCTTAAAAATCACCCTGGATGTGTACCACTCTCCCTTCCCTTAAAATGCTGTGTACATACTATGCAGCTCCTAAGCACTGTTTTACATTGTGCATATACGTGTAATAGAGCTGCTGAAATTCGGACAACCAGGTAGTCAGCTTTCCGTTAGGTAACTGAATGGACTGTCTGTTTTCAGTTAGAGAAAACGGCTGAAATAAGACCCCCATCTAATAGTATTTCTACTCTAACGCTGGTGTCTTAATTTTGGGGGGGAGGGGGGAATACACAGACTGCTTTTGAGTTAATGTACCCCTAGTAAGGGCTGTTAATGACATTCTTGCTGATGTTGCTATGCGTGAATGTTTTTTGAATGGTAACAGGAGCTTCCTGGCTAAGCAAATTCAAAAGGAAAAATCCCACTCTTTGTTAACTGGAGTTTAGCCACCTTTAGGCAGTCTGTTTTCTTTAGTAATTGAGTATTATATTTCACGCATCTTTTGTAATTTTCTTGTTTTGTTTTCTGTAGCTTATTTGGCTAAGTTTGGTTCCTGGGGTCCTGGTGCTGTCAATTGCTGAAGAAGTAGATTTCTTGGCCCCTGTCTCCTTCTTTCCCCCTCATTTTTATTTCTCCGTGAAATTTAAATAAGTTAAATAATTTCATTTAAGGAAAAAGGAAGTATACATGGTGAAAGCATTTTTTTAAGGGCGTGTAGGTGAAGATAACTGTTACCTACTTTAAATTTGGAACTAAATACACCAATTTATCTGAATAATTAATTCCCTGGACATGCAGTAAATGTCTCTTTCATTCCTTATGCTTTCCAAAATGGACAATTTCAAAGAAGAAAGTGAACAAACCTCTACATGAGAATAAAGAAACAAACAAAGCTGTTAGTTTGAATTTTCTTATCGTGGGGGATGTCCTTTTTGGGTTTCAGGTGGTATAATATAGTCCTGCAGAACTGTGTTTTGCGGAAGGTGGGAAATTAAGCCTGCTTTTCTCAACTACAAAGTAAAAGCTGTGTTTTCAGGATGCAGACATGTGACACTAGTTAAACCTGTTAGCTACTAAAATGCAGGTAAGCTTCTGCTTTTATAAAGAGGAAACACTGCATTCTGCAAAACTTTTGATAGGCTGATGATGAGCCCATGTTTAGGCACCAGAAACTGGCACCAGAAAGTGCTCAGCTTAGAAAATCTTAATAGAGCAGATACCCTTAATGGGTATCACATGATTGGTTATCACTTCAGGTTATTTTCCAAACTTTTTCCCTTCCTGCAGATGTCACATGTGTCTTACAGATGTCCTAATTTCAGTCAGTTGTTGATTTTTCACCTAGATCACAGGGTGGTTGAGGTTGGAAGGGACCTCTGGAAATCGTCTAGTCTGACCTCCCCGCTCAAAGCGGGGTCAGTTAGAGAAGGCAGCTCAAGGCAGTGCCCATTCAGGTTTGGAATACGTTGAAGGATGGAGATTACAAGACCTCTGTGGACAACCTGTTGCGGTGTTTGACTGTGCTTACGGTGGAAAAAGTTCAGGGTTCTTTTTGTTGTGTGGGGTGTTTTTGGTTTTTTTTTTGGGTTTTTTTTCCCCCTTTCCTCTTATGTTTAAGTAGGTTTTCTGTTTTTTCGATTCATGCTCATTCCTTCTTCTTCGCTCACTGGATAACACTGTGAAGAGTCCAACTCTATTTTCCTTTCTCCCTCCCACATCAGATATTTGTATACGTTGATAAAATCTCCGAGAGTCGTCTCTTCTCAAGCCTAAACAATTCCAGCTTTCATAGCCTCTCCTTGTGTGACAGATGCTTCAGTCCTTTAATCATCTTTGTGGTCTTTTGCTGGACTTGCTCTCCAGTACGGCCATGTCTGTCTCATACAGAGGAGCCCACAACTGGATGCAGTGCTCCAGATGTGTGCCACCAGTGCTGAGCAGAGAGGAAGGATCACCTCCCTCAACGTGCTGGCAACACTTCTCATGCAGCCCAGGGTGCTGTTGGCCACCTCTGCTGCAATGGCACGTTGCTGGCTTGTGTTCAACTTCGTGTCCAACAGAACCTCTAAGGGCTTTCCTACAAAGCTACTTTTGGGACAGTTAGTCACCAGTGTGCTCTCTGACCATTTGTCCAGGCTGTTTGAGGTTCATCTGAGTGGCAGGCCGCTGTTCCTCCCCATCATGTATCTTCAGCAAACTTGCTGAGGATGCACTCTCTCCCATCATCCAGGTCATTAATGAAGATGTTAAACCCAATATCAACCCTCTGGAGTATACCACTGTTGACTGGCTTCCAACCTGACTTTGTGCTGCTGGTCACAGTCCTTTGAGCCCAGATGCTAAGCCAGTTCTCAGTCCATCTCAGAGTCCACTTCTTTAGCCCATACTTCATTAATTAGACTATAAGGAGATTTATGGGAGGTGATGTTGAAAGCCTTGAGAAAGTTGAGATAAACGACGTTCACTACTCTCCTCTTGTCCACTGAGCCAGTCATCTCATTGTGGAAGGCTGCTGTTGCTGTTACCATGGTACCTTCTTCTAATTCGGAGGTGATAATGGCATTTGCATATTGCTCCTGTTAAAATCCATGACTTGTCAAAGTTTCTTTTGAGGAAAAAATACGGAAGGAAGTGAGTACACCGAACTGAATTTTGCGAGATTCGCTGATAGTAGTAAAATACTTTTGTCCTGAAGACTTCTAAAACGGTTATCTGAAGAACCTTCAGTGGGGTATTGTGGAAGTAGTTCACCTGAGTTTGAAGTCTGTCTCTCAAGATTTCAGACATTTGCTGCTGTTTAAGTTGGTATCCAATTTTTGTTTGAAGATCATTATGCAGAGAAATAGGTATTTTTCAACAATGGCCTGTAACTAACTATGTATCCATAAAAGCCTGGCTTCTGTTAGCACTTTTATGTATAGTACGTTGTTATGTGTAAGGGAGGAAGATGCAATATCTTTAACTTTTAAGGCTGAGAAACCTATAATATAAACTTGTTCTTGTTTATTGCAGGTTTATGGAATCTTGCTTCTCTCTTTTCAAATTTATGTTTATTTGTGTTGATGCCCTTTGCCTTTTTCTTCCTGGAATCAGAAGGATTTGCTGGCTTAAAAAAGGTAGGAAAATACTGTTAAATATAGACTAATGACAGTATATATTCCGTTTTCAGCCCTCATTTATGATGAAACTGAAATTACAAATTTGGAGGGATTTGGCACTGGGATGTGTATGCTTATGTGAATGTCTATATACAGATGCACGCTCCCGCACAAGCAGATGAAGCGGGTATACGGTGTCTGCGACTAAGCTTAAGGGAAAGGAAAAAAGTCCTTGAAAAGCCGTGTATACTGAGATCAAGAAAATGAATTAACTCATCTCTTTTTTTAATAATGAAATGTTTTGAACAAGATTTTATTTTTGGGAAAATGGTTTTGTTGGGATGCTAAAAAGAGAGAAGGTTCAATAAATACGCTAGAAATAAAGTAACCAGGGAAAGAAGTACAGGGTTCTTACTAATGGGAAGGGTGATTAAATAACAGATGACCCAGAGAAAACAAGCTTACTTTCTGAATTTTTAAAGATTGCAAATATCCCCAAAAAGGTTCAAGTATGGTCAGTATTAGCAATAATATATTAATAAAGCTGTTTTAAATGGGTAGAGAAAAACTGAAAATACTCAACTTGGTTGAATATATTCAAATGAGAGCGCTGAGTATTTCAGTTAAGTGTGGAATTTGGCAAAGCAGTTTCTGAACAATAAGACGATAACGGTTATGTTAATATGTGAATTAAAGAAATATAATGAAAAATTACTTTAATGGGAGGCACAGCAAAATGAATTTCAAATCGTAAATATCAAATAAATTTAACTGGAATGACTGTCTGGGGACCACTTGTAGCACGCTTTCATTAATCTTTATCACCCAAATGATTAGACTTTTGTTTTTAATGATACTGCACTTGAAGGAATTTTGTGCCCTTTGGATGACAGCTATTGGAAAGCAAAGGATCTTGAAAAGTGGTCTGAAATCAGGAAAATGAAATGCATTAAAGATGGATGCAAAAGACTAAGTCATTGGTGGATCGCACATAACATAAATCAATGAGGGGATGATTGTGGTGGAAGGAAAACATAATTCCTAATTGCATTGACAGGAGTTGGTATGGAGGTGATGATGTTGCCATTTTTGTTCTTGGTGGAATTGGGGAAAACTCAACTGAAGTACTGCATTCTTGGCTTTTAGGGTTTGTGTAGACAATAAGAGAAAAAGAGGGCAGCAAAAAAAAAAAGTACAGCACAAAGGAAACAATTGAGAGAGAATAATGTGAAGAAACAGAGATTTTATTCTATGGCTGAAGCTACTGGGAGGTTACATAGACTGAGCAATATAGCTATGTCTGATAGGACCTGCAGGACCCAACCAAGATGGTGTGTAAATGCTTATTTGGTGTAGCCTGGTCTGAGCTTGGTGATGCTACTGCAGTGTTCCTTTGCGTTGACCGAACTGTGGATGTATCCACATTAACTTCAGTTATAAGTTAGAATGGCCAAGCTACTGAGTTCAACTTCAAAGGAGTTTGGTTATGGGCTACTATGTTTACCTCTGCTTATCCAATTTGGCTGGAAACCACTGTCCTTTCCTCTTCCTCCTTCACTTCACGTATGTATAGGACTATGACAACTTTTAGCAACCCGCTTTGTCCTTTCAGTTTTCAGGTGGAGACCTTTTGACTCTAAGTATCTAGCCACAGCTAAAGTGTATCTTTTCTTCTAAAAAAGAAATAAGTTAATTGATTTTAGTGGGTTTGTGTGTCCTGCAGTCCAACTGAAACCAAGGATTCTCTCCATTAGCATACCGTGTATGGTACTGCTGGTGTGCCCCGTTGACTTGTAGATTTCTGTTGGCTCCAACAGGTGCATTGTGTATCCCATCTGCATTAAACTTGCACTTTACATAATAGTTACTCTATAACTTTTAAATTTATGATACTGGCTATCAATAAATTCCATTCAGGATAAATAGGATCACCATTGCATATTTACACTTGGAAGCATTTGTAACTCCAGATGAGATAGAGCATCTGTCTGGAGGTGTCAGGAAAAAGGCAATTGTTGGTGCTTTAGAGTAGCTTTGCTTCTTCATGGGGGTAGATGAGATTAGATTTTTAGTATCAAAACCCACTCATTGTTGGGGGGGGAACCCCCAGTTTTTGGGATGTTTTGTTCCTTTGGCTTCTCCTGGATGTTTTTTGTGCAGTGCAGAAACCAAGTGTGATTCCTAGTACAGGCACTCAAGGCCTTTGTCCAGTCTCTGTTCTACCTGGCTGCTCTGTTTAAAAGTATCCAAAATGGATGCAGACACATACTGAATCGGTTTACCAGCTTTGAGTGCACCCTAAAGCTATTGGTGAAGATGTAGGAACTGTGATTCATTTTTATATGAACACACCTTGTGTTTGGTCGCTTTTCTTAGAAAGTAAGTGGCAAATGTCATGTCTGGACTAAGTTGATAGTCACAATTGAGTCCTCTGTTCAAATTCTGATGCACAGAAAAGTTTCTACTTGCAATAAGTAATCTATATTGAAGTTAAAGAGGTAGATGACATAATAGGGTGACTAGAATTTGGGAAAATTTTTGGCTAATTGAGCTCAGGATTACGTGTAAGCTTTTCAGTTCTAGAATCTGTGAAGAGTACTTTCTGTCTTTTTTTACTTTCCTTAGATTTTGGCATATTGCTTGTCTCTTTTCAGAGAAGATTTTGAGATCATGATTACTTTGCAAAATTCTGGTACTTAAATTATTTTGGTTAGGTTATACTTGTGCAAGTTGTTTTTGTTTTTAAATGTCATATTTTGTCATTCATCACATCACACTAATGGGCCAGAGAGATAAAACACCACTCAAATGCTATTACGGTTAACTGGCAAAATCAGATTTTAGTGATCTCAGTTTAAAATAACATTTCATATGTTTGGCAAAACTTGCAGCATTTAAGAGAAGAGTGATCAACTCTAAATGTGAAGACATTCAATAAGGAGGTTTGGCACAGGATACATAATTTTAACTTTCAGTTGCGAGTTGGATACAAGGAGTAGGGA